TCATTCCGTATGTGAGGACGATGTAGGGATGCCCCTTCCCCTTTGGCTCTGGAATGTTCACATCACACATCCCAGGAAGCATTGGTTTAGTGAGGGGTGCATGTGCTCCGTGAGACTCTGCACGTGTGCAGACATGCGGCCAAGTATTAGGGACCTGGCACTAGTTCCCAAATACCTGGCAGAGACCCGCAGCATGTTTGTGCACATGCAAGATATTTCAATATGGCGGCATGGGAGAAGAGGAACCCAGGAAAAACCTTGGCTGGAGCTATGTTGGATTTTTTTATTACCATACAGGGGCAATTATTAGAGAGAGGGAATTTAATTTTAACAAAGTAGAGTGAAGTTTCTCTTTAAACATTTTATCTGAAATTCTTTCATAAAATTGCACAGGAAGGTCAAAGTAATGGTCACGTTTTAGGAATATCTTAATGGTTAATACCTCATTTGTTTCACTCCTACATCCTACTAGTGAATTCACCTTTAGCGGTTTAGTTTAGTGAAAACCATTTTCCTTACAACATAATAAAACTGTTGACCTGCAACCAGCCATGCAAGACTAAACTTGCCTAAGTGAAATGAATTAGGAGTAATAAATGATTAATCTTCTCCAGTATATCGTCCTTTGCTTCATTCTGCCACCTGCGGATTGCCCCTCACTGTGTAATTGTATCAGGAGCCTTTAAGACCTATAAAGTGCATTATTACTTATTTAACAATTTTTTTTTCTGAGTATTCTAAACTGTACCTAAAAAAGGCAAGCAGAGGGCCAAGACTTCATCACCTGTATTGCCTATGGGCTCCCAGCAGCTAACCCCTTTTCCAGATATTGACTTTTTCCAAGCCTGGTTAACACACTCTGTCTCTGTGGAGGGGGTTATCTTAGCAGATCATCAGGGCTTTTCTTCTCATTATAATGGTGAGCAATTTCCAGAAGGCTAGGAAGCTGCTCACCCATATAAATCAATGAGGTTGTGGTGCACATGTGCACTGTTAACATGGGCCAGAGGGGAACATTTTCGCTAAAAGGTGGTGCAGCACTGGGCAGAGCTGCATGGTGAACCTCTCTGCAATGGAGAGCAAGGTAATCTCTCATAGCAAGCTGTACTAAGATGGGGGCGCAGTGGCATAAGCCTTACTCTGTACCTGTATACTCTGTACCCGTCCCGACTTAAAATCTGCCAGAGTCACTAAAGTCCATGTAGTGTCTGTGTTCACCCCCACTGCTGTATCAGAAGACATGCACTGTCTTCACTGGAGCATTGTGCAGGGTATAGGTCAGACCGTGAGGATCTGGACCATTGTGATTGGTGTGAGAACAGTGATCTGGATCTCCAGTGTGTTGTCAGCACAAGGCAGCTTCATGTTATTCTAAGCACTAATGCATAATTTTAAGAAAATCTCATATTCCTTTCTTGTTATGGAGCCTGACTGCTTAACAATAATTTAAAAAAAAAGGTTTCAAATAGACTTTAAACTCCTGTCCAACTTTGTGCACTGTGGCAACAGAAACTGAAATGCGTGTCACTTTGCAAGATGAGCCACAGTGCCATTTGTTGTTATTGGCACCCAAACGCACCTTGCTTCTCTATGCTCTTTAAAGTTCATGAAATCACATGAATACACATAGTAAAGTAGCATATGTTTTTGAGCAGTACTATTCGGGGGAAAAAAAAAAGCTAGGATTACTTTGGTGTGATTATCATGCATAGGGCAGCCCACTGAAATAAATGGGGTGCCTTATAGACAGTGCACAACAATGCATATACACACGGACATGCTGTCACACCCGAAGAAGTGTGAACAGGGGCCAAATTTAATCTTCAGGTTCAAAGCGGTTAAATACATTCCAGGTGCATTAAAACAAGAGTATTCAATGTATTACAGTGTGCTCTCTTCATAAAGCAATTAAGGAATGAACAGAATTTGAACAGGATTTTTAAGGTGCCAGTGACACAGCCAAAAATATGTGTTAAAATCAAACTTTATTCAAATTAATCATCTCAAATATTAATAATGTGTTATTAAATGGAGCGGTTCACATTTCAACACGTTTCGTGCTCTTCGTGCTTCTTCAGGAAAAAGATGGAGGTAATCAACATCGAAGTGACATTAACGTTTGCCGAGAATAATACTGGCTTCAGGGTCTGTGCGCCTGGGAACACCTCTGCCCCTTGACAAATGACTGCATAGAAGATTAACCCGCAAGAAGATGGATCTTTGCCATGAGCGAATCCCCAACCAAAGAAAGACTAGATAAGGCCACAGACCTGCTAATCAGAAGCTCCTCTGGAAGAAGTTATACATCAAAGTAAAAGGCTTTCACACCAAACCGTGCCCCCTGGCCACCAGTCCCAGAACCGCACAAGTTGAGGTTTACATTATTAATATTTGATGTGATGTATAACCATGTCATGATCTATTGTATAGATTGGCATTTCTACTATTCATGGAGTGGTATTAGGAGGTTATATACCAACAGGAGCTTTCGCTTTGTTTATGATTAAAACATGAAATGTGATTTGGTTTTATGGGGGTTGTTTTTATACAAATAAATCTTTTAAGATGATTTATTTCAATAAAGTTTGATTTTAACAAATATTTTTGGCTGTCACTGGCACCTAAAGACCCTGTTCAAATTCTGTCCATTGCTTAATTGGTCAAATGGTGCCGTATGTCTCAAGGCACTATATGCAAATGACTGTGCTGTTCTTTCTAAGGCTAGGTTCAGACCTGAGCGACACCTGGGACGCACATCCCGGGACCGCAGGATCGTGTGCTAGTGCACACACCGGTTGCCGCGCTGCCCCATTGATTTGCAACACACGACTTTTTAGCTGCAACTGTGCTCAATTGTGCCTGTCCCCTGCCAGCATGCTGCAAAAGTCTGACACACCCCCTTGCTGAGTCACACCTATGGCTATACAATCAGCAAAGCTAATGTTCTCTGCTGATTGGAGAGCTCTGGCTCTAACTTAGCATGGGGTGTGCAGGACCTCTGTAGAGACTGCTGCTTGCTGCCCACGGACAGCAAGGGTCCCGTTCTGCAACATGCTGGCAAGGAACAGGCTTTTCAGGCAGCTGTGGCTGCTTTAGAAATAAAAGATTTTGCACACCTTTTCTTATGAAGCACATGCAATGTATTTATCTGATATAAACTGAAGGTTTAATTGGACTTTAAAGACAAGTGTAAGCAGCAACAACAAACAATCAGCTACAGACTAGTAATTCTGCATTAGCAGTTGAAAAATAACAAGGAGTAAACAAGCATTAGAGAAAGGGATCTTCAGCTTACAAAACAGGGTTATCCAAAAAGGAAAGTAATGCAGACTAATTAGAAAAAGCAGAAGAACTATTTTAAAATGAGGAACTGGTAAAACAATATAACCCAATAAGCTACTTTTCTTTCTTTGTAATGGAAAAGCAACTAATAAAGTCCATTACACCTTCAGCAGCCAATATGCCTATGCTCACTGCCTCCTTAAATAAATCATGATGAAAGACGACAACAAAGATTAGAAAAAAAACACAAAAATGTTGCATTAGAACTGAGATTTTTCTTCTGGTCCACAGTGATTGGCTATTAATTGTGTCTCCTTGAAGCTGGCATAGCTACCAATTTGCTGATGTCCTAAGCCCTATGTAATGTATTGTCTGTACCACCCTGATTTAAAGCATGAGGCCCCGGGCGCCCGCACCGCCTGCACCGGCGGTAGTTCCGCCACTGATGTGTATGCCATTTTTTTGGATCCGGACCCTTTCTTTATGATTTACGATTTGATTTGTGCCAGGATTTATAACTTGAGTTATAGTTTCAGCTCTGTAACTGAGAGCAGCAGCTCTCATACACAAAAGCCATATTGTAGATTAATGACCCCTCTTCTCTTCATGTCCATTCACCAAATGCTTTAAATTCTGTTAATTATTCACAAACTACAGTACATGGATAAGGGGAAAGGGGGGATGGATAAATGACAGTGTGGTGTCTGTGTATGAGAAGCGCAGCTCTCACAGTCACAGTGCCGGGAGTATAGCGAAAGCTGTATTTTCTGGCATGAATCATTTTTTCAAGGAGCAGCATTGGGAGAGTAAAATGTTAGGGGATGGCCATGGTTCCCCAGACCATCCTCCCTGTTCATTGCATAACCCTATTCACCATTCACAACTATAATATTTCTCTCTAGAGCCACTCTATCTCTGTCATTCTCTTCCTTGTTAAATTACACTTGCTCCTACTTTCCATACAGTTGCAGAGATCCATAAAACCAACATTTCCAATACTTCCTACCCTACTCCTTCTCCTCCCAAACCTTCCTTAACCAAGTAGTTACCTTCCATCTCTTTCATTCACTGTCATCTCCCTTACCTATCATATCTTAGGATCTCAACCTCTTGCCTGTCCTCTCTACTCCTCTTGATTCATATTTTATACTTGTTTTTGCCTGAATTATTTAATACATTTTATTATTTCATGTACATCAATGTATCATATGTTGGTACTTTGAACAGTGCAGGAGAATTCTTGATATGCAAGGTAAATTATTCTATAACAACCAGTCACATGTCACTCTTTACAGCAGCTGGAATAATAAAGAGCAATTGCTATACACAGATATCATTTAAGCAGTTCTTTAGCAGGGCTTGCGGTTGTGCTGCTCGATCAAAAGCCACTAGAGAAAGACTCTACAGAAATATGAGTAGCAAAAAAGGCAAAGATTTCAGAAAACATGATCAAGCTGCATCAATAAAAATGTTGCAATGACAAAGCCAAATTAATACACAATGGGAGAAGTCATTCCCAATCAGAGCCAACATAATTATTTGTACACCAATGATCAGAAAAGGAAGAAAAAAAAAGCTCAGAAATGATGTATCAGTAACTGTTCAGAATCAAAAAAAGCTAGAACAAGTTTGGACATTAAATTATTTTCTGCTGACAGCAAGTAGAGATAGCCGCTGTGATAACGCTGATAAGTCCAAAAACAACACACTGTACTTACTAGCAACTCATCCATGCTGGTTTGGCATTTCTCTAAGTTTATTCTCTTTATGGCCACTCTCTCTTGTCTGGGTTTGCATAGCGCTGCCTGGACCACTGCTGTGGCGCCACTTCCTGAAACAAATTAATCAAGAGTGAATAAAGTTACAGAGGATCTGTCACGAAAACACAAGCACAGCAAAATGTCCCAAAGTTATTAGGAGAGAATTGTTTTGATACAGCCATGGTGGATATCTTAAAACAAGTTCATTATGGGGAAGGGGGGGGG